TAGTCCACCTGGTGATGGAAGTTAGGGAGGCCGGCCTATCCTGCCTGCCTGGGCCGTAACACAAAGACATGCGCCTGGCACCCCATCCTGAATCCTTAGTACGGTTTTGGTAGCAACTCCGTGCTCGAATCGGTCTGCTTAGAGCGGACAACAACAACCGACGAATCCCAGTTGGGCAGTTCCCTTGTATGGGGTCTCGGCATCTGGAAAGCAGTAAATAGTCTCCTAATAATAGGACAGTCGGCTAGTCTTGTTCCCACAACGTTCTCAATGATGGGGGACAAGGCCGACCTGTAGCCAACGATCGCTGCGTAGGACAAACCCACTTCGTTAAACAGGTGGACTAAGGAGCCTGCTACCTGGCCAAGAGGGATGGTATGGATCAATCTCCATTTCGCTACACCAATCAGTGTATGCTCGCAACCTAGAAACGTAGGCCGCATTGGTGGAATCCCTGTTCACCCTGGCCAGGATGTTGGCAGCCCGCTCAGATAAAGCTTTCGTATGTGCGGGTCTACTGAGTGCCTCTATGCGTGTAAGTGATACCCGCTGGGCTCGTTGGTAGTGCGCCGTCCGGTTGGGACAGCAGGTCCGGTAAGTCTGGAAGCACTACTGGTGTTTCGACTAGCATTTCCAACAAAAGTGGAAACTAGGCCTTGCTTGGCCAATTGGGTGCGACCAATGACAATATGCAGGTGTGCACCTGTCGAAGTTTTCTCCAATGCCTGTTGAACTAGCGGGAAGGAAAGGTAGGCGTAAGGGCATTTGCCAGACTGTTCCTCACCCCCGGAAGGTTGTGTGCAGTTAGCTTCACATTGGATTCCAGGCACCAAAGGAGAATTTGCTCCGCTAGGACTGACAACAATGGGAAATGCGTCTCCCCCTCCTTCTTGAAGGAGACCACCGCTGCGTTGCCTGTTCGGAGCAGGACTCTGTGGTCTCGAACTATGGGTAGAAAGTGTGGTAGTGCTGAGTACACTGCTTTCAGTTTGAGCCGGTTGATATGGTGGTCCCGAAACTAATGCGGGGGCCATATCCTTGGGCTTGTTTGTCCAATAGGTGCCCTCCCCAACCTTGGAGGGAGGCATCTGTTACTAGAGTCATACCTGCAGCGAGTGGGTCCAAGGGGGCCCCCTGTTTGAGGTTGGCCAGTGACGACCACCAGGGCAGGGCTTCCTTCACTTAGTCCGAGATGAAAACCCGCCTATCTAGTTCCCATAGGAGAGCTCGGCGTTGCAACAACAAGCGTTGTACCGGTCGGCTGCGTAGTGCGGCCTGGGGAACCACCCTTCGAACCGAGGTCATCATTCTGATGATTCGCATTAGTTCTCGGAGGGACACTGAGGGAACGCTGACTAGGCGTTCGTCTAGGCTGCTTAGCGCTAAGCAACACGCTTGAAATAGCTATACCATGCTTACCTCTGTGTCAAACTCCATGCCCTGGAACACCAACTGTGCATAGGATCAAGATGGGATTTACTAAAGAGCCCAACTGGTGAAGTAAATCCTGTGTTAGCCTGACGTGTTTGGCTAATAACCCCTTGTCTGGGTTGTGTAATAATCAGTCGTCTAGGTACGGATTGAGGTGTACCGACATTTGGTGAAGCAGCAGCACTACCCATTTCATCACTCTGGTGAACACATAGGGCAGAGTGCATAACCCGAACAGGGGGCACCTGAAATTCGAATACTTGGCCCAGCTGGGCAATTCAAAGGAGGTGGCAATTCGCTGGGTGCATTGGTGTGTGCAGGTAGGCCCCGCTTAAGTCTAGTGGGGCTAGCCAGTCGAAGAGGTGGATGGAAAGAAGAACCCTGAATGGCGTCTCCATGCAGAACCGATCGAGGAGCACGTACTGATTCAGTCTGCCTAGGTCCAGAACTGGACGCCTGCCACCTGTAGATTTGGTACAACGAACACATTTAGGTACAAGCCTGGACTTAATGCCGGCTGATCTACCCTGTGTATGGCGCCCTTTTCCAGCAAACTGCTACTTCCTGCCTGATTGCTTCTGCGAGAGTCCCCTGGCAGTGCCCAATAGGAGAGACACTGACGGGGGAGATGGAGATTTCAGTGGTATCCCGTAACAGAAACCGAACTACACCGGCGCAATCTGTGTACAACAGGGATAGGTGGCCATGGGTTCGGCGAGGTGTGAGTGCTCTCTTCTCCCATGAGGTCAGTTTCCCCAAGGTCTGAAATAGTAACTAAGTTGTGACCTGGCCACTCGCCGAACACATGCCTGTCCCCCTGGTCGCAGAGGTAAGTGTCAAACATGCTTCCCCCGCTGCCGTGGTGGACGACCGCCCGAGGAGTGTGAGGAGCCACCACCTGGCTCTTTCCTCCCTGGGGCACGCCACTACTCTTTCCTCCCGTGGAAGGGTATGAGCGCTTGCCTCCTGGCTGACTCTGGATAGCGGACGACGTCCTAGAGCATTGTGTTTTCTGTGCTTGGGGTGCCCTCCGCTTACCCATGGCAGGGCCAACTGGCTAGCGGATATGATCGGAACCCTCTGGTTCATTGTACTCCAAAGCTCTGAGACTGTACCCACCATTCCCCGAACAAAGAGGGTAGAAGATGTCCAGTCTGCGTCACTGAGGTGGGGACGTACCCCCTGACTCAGTTTGCCGGCGAAAACACGCGCGTTTAAGGCCGCGTCTCGTTGCACAGTAGTGGCTTTGGCAAAGAGAGCCAGGTGACACTAGGGGATGTCGCACGTAGATGTGTGGTGGCCCACCCGTAAATGTGTCGCCTGGTCTAGGAGGCTGGTGCGTTCTGCCTCCGAGGTCTCAGAGTCCTGGGCGCGCACAATAATGTGCTCAAGCAACTCTGCCCTGAAGCATTGAAGCAACCGTAAGTGGTCGCCTAAAGATCATAGGTGGGAGTATTTACATTGTATCACTAGAATCGATGATACTCCGTATCACCCCAAAGACGTGGCTCACAGAGTCTTTACGGATGGAAGACTCGGAGGGGCCGCTTGAGGTACCAGCTGTATCCTTCAAAATAGTCATTTTGACTGACCGGAGTCTATGGTGGGTAATTGAACGTAGTGAATTAGAGTGCAGGAAGATGCATTCAAAACCAGACAATTAATTACACATCTAGAGTATATATAATGCAAAACACATACAATTTTGTAAACAGATCCACTTGTATTTATGTGCAGTTAGACTGTAGAAATCATTTATTACCCTATAAATACTATACATTGCAAAATACATCCGGTGTCTAAACAAAAACACACATAGCATGGCAATTTGCATGCACAAGCGTCTCGTCCGCCTCCACGGTGTTGTTCCGTTCGGACATTCCTCCATCCACATAGTGAAGTGCTTTGCAGGAACATTCACCTTGAAAATTCAAGATGGCACAAACGAAGTATAAAGATTGATAAATATTACAAAAGTAGAAAAAAATACAAGGGTATTATTACGGTGAAGAATTTCATTTTAAAATGGCGGCGGCCAGTGTGACGCATCTTGTTTGACACGAGTCCCATGCGGCATATACTACATATATAAAACACATTGTTTACACAAAATGTAACATCCACTATATGATGTAAACAAGTGTATTGAAATCAGTAAACGTTCATTCCCAGAAATATTCCATAGATTCGTAAGGACTAAATTACATGAAAATCACCTACTTCCTGCCTGTCTAGAGAATCAGAGTTGATATTTTTTTTGCAAAGATTTTTGATTTTCCTGCTGTATGAAAATTATGAAATTAAAGAGTATTAAAGTTAATTAATGAATTGATTGGACCCCCCTAACTTATTTAACAAACTCACTGATTGTACAAGACTGATTATGAAAGAAACAGTTTTCCAGTGTAAATACAATATTAAATATTTTTAAAGCAGCAGTGTGGAAGACGATAAGCTTATAAGAATAATCAAAGATATTAACAGCCATACTGGTAATATCAAATATTGCCAAATGGCAGTGTTCTGGCTGTCAATATCTTCATGTCTCAGGCACAGGGTGTGTAACAAGCAACAGCACATTAGTACGCTCTAAAGTGTTTAACCTAGATCCTAAATTTTGATTGTTAATTACATTACTTTATTTAATTAATGAATGAATATGTTTATCAAATATACTGTAAGTGTGTACATTTTGTTAATTTATATGCAAATAATCTGCAACCCTCCAAGATTGTTCTGGGGATAACTTTGAACATTATGATGCCATTCTTTAATACAACATGTCCGAGTAAATATATTAAAAATTTTAACCTAGATCCTAAATTTTGATTGTTAATTACATTACTTTATTTAATTAATGAATGAATATGTTTATCAAATATACTGCAAGTGTGTACATTTTGTTAATTTATATGCAAATAATCTGCAACCCTCCAAGATTGTTCTGGGGATAACTTTGAACATTATGATGCCATTCTTTAATACAACATGTCCGAGTAAATATATTAAAAATTTTAACCTAGATCCTAAATTTTGATTGTTAATTACATTACTTTATTTAATTAATGAATGAATATGTTTATCAAATATACTGCAAGTGTGTACATTTTGTTAATTTATATGCAAATAATCTGCAACCCTCCAAGATTGTTCTGGGGATAACTTTGAACATTATGATGCCATTCTTTAATACAACATGTCCGAGTAAATATATTAAAAATTTTGTACAAAGAGTCATATCTGTAGTTTTAGAAAGCAGTTTGGAACATTTTTCAGGAAATACAATTACAACAAAAGAAACATGTATTGTGCTTCACCTCCATGCAAACACATCAAAGGTCTCTCATAACACGTTGTTCTTCACATACAAAATGCTGCCAACATGCATGCAGAATTATTTTGAAAAATTCCAAAGAAAATGTATTTAAGCTATTGATCTATTTTCAAATTATATGAATATAATATATATACAAGTATATTAAAAAAAAATTACTATCTATTAAAATATGGTGTTAGAATGTGCATGTGACTAATTGTTACCATAGGAACCAATGATAAAATAATCTAACAGTACATGTTTCATTCCATTTTTAAATATCTATTTCCCTTACAAATCTCAGTAATGACTATAATTTGATTTGACTCTTAAATATTGAAATATCAATAATTACATGAAAACAAAAAAAAAACAAATATACAGTTGCAGCTATGGTAAAAAAACATTTTCTTCCCTACTGATACAGTATCATGAATTAATATGCGGTGGGGTCAACTATCAGTATCATGTTTTCAGATATGCAAATTATGTGCATAGTGCATCACCTGTGCAAAGTGATTATAAATGAAAATATCAAAGTTCTGAAGTAAGTATACCCTTGATTTTAAAACCATTATGATTAGATTATCTGAGTTTGATCACTATAGTGTCCAAATAGTCTCTCTCGCTCCCGTTTCATACTTCTTAGAAATGATTCATGCTGGCTGTACCTCCATATCTTCACGGTAGACATGATGAGTAGACATAACCAAGTGATCCATGACATCCACAAACCAAACTAGAGAACAAAACAAAAAGTAAAATGTATCACGACCAAAATAATATAGTATTATCCACAGCAAACCCACTCCATTTCACATACATGTATGTGGAAGTACTGCATCTTTATATGTTGTATAAGCAGTAACTGTAGACACTGGTAGGATAAAAAAGACTAAATAGTTCCATGGATCATTTTATATTATGTATTATGAATAGATCCTGAATAATTATGTTTCAGGGTTTTTTAAAAATACAGTACCCGGTAATAGTATAAAGAGAACAGCAAAATAAAGGAAGGCCGAATGTCATATTTGATTTTGAACAGAATATTATATTAATTTACTGCTATGCCCCATTTCAGATGCTGATTATATTTCTAAAATATTACTCACTTCAGTCATTCCAAAGAAAACAACCATCCCAGAAGTTACAATCAAAGGATCCACATCCCACTGAATCAAATCTGCCATTTCACATCTGGTGACAAAATTACAGGAATATTAAATAGTTATTTCTAATTGATTCACAACACACTAACAGTTCAAGAGTATCATAATTTTATGATTGCATGATCTAGTTATTTTATCAGAGAACCTTCCTAGTGTACATTAAAAATGGCCTGAGTGGAAAATCACGAATAAATTTAAATGACATAGTTCCAGTTTGTATTAGGCTGCAATATTAATTAAGAACTTCAGAACATAACATTACGTCTCATCTTTGTTACAGCTTTGAGCAAAATCTTTCAAGGAATGTTCAAGAAATGACTACTGTAAAATCTGTATTAGAGGCCCCGGCTTATATGAGAAATGATGAATTTTGGGATATCAATTATTAAAAACAAATGGATGCGACTTCTATTAGGGATGCGGCTTGTAATACAGATTTTACAGTAATTAAAGTGATGTAAAAATAAAATTAACATTGCCAATTTGTAGGCCATTTCGAAACAAATCACAAAATGTGTAGTTCACACCTAGTTTGCCTAAAATTATCCACAAAAAAAGTGAGCACATTTTGCTTCACATGTGGCACTGCCACATACAGAGTCGTAATCAAACTGTTTCTGCGAGAGTTAAGGGACATAGTTTGGAGTGACCATACCACCTAACGTGTCACTGATGACACCTCACATGTTGAAAGGAGAAAAAAAAAACACATACATGTAGTAGTAGTAGTAGTAGCACATTACTACAAGTAACAATTAATTATTTTGCCAGATAGTATTGTTCTGATGTGAATGGCGAAAAGCACTGAATACATTCACTCAAATTATCCATTAATTTTAATTATTCTTAATTAAGAATCATTAATATAAATAATAATGCATTTTCATATTGAAAACTTAAGTCTAGCTTGAACAAAAAACTTTAAAAGTAAGAATGACTTTAATGAGGCCAGCCTGAATTCAGAGACGTACATTTTTCTAATCTAATGTGTCTGTAAATGTATAAACTTCAGGTAAATGTCTTGGGGTCTAAACTATTCAAAAGGATGAATGAAATTTATTATTATTGTGCACACATTGACACATGGCTGTAGAACCTACATTTTTTTTTGTAGAGGATGCTAAATCCACTTCAGCTTCAAACATTTTACAATATAATTTTTATTAATTATTGTAAGCATAATGTATTTGAATTACCACTATGGTCAGCATAGCAACGAACATTTATTTTGGTGAATATCAAAAGCTCTACGTTTAAGTAAACTGACAATGAACTTACTTTGAAATAGCAGACCCTGGTGATTTTACCAGTTGATCACAGAAATGGTTAAATCCTAGAGTCACTACTAAACAGTCGGAAAACAGCAACACAGTGATAAATGAATTAATCACTAATGTCAAGAACGCACCAAGAAAAGAACTGTAATATAAAATGCACAGATGTGATTTAGAGTTTTGTCAATGATTGAAAAACGATACAAGATAATAAGATCTATCTAGACGATAAACTTGCAGCATTGTGATATAAAACGATATACAGATAACATAAAAATATTCAGGATATACGAAAATTTATTCCAGTTCTATGAATGCATATACTAAGTATTCACTGGCTTCAGATCCAAGACTCTATGTTCGTCTAACGATATTGACCGTCATGGAATGCAGCACCAAATCCAGACATGCTTTATATGCGCTTGTGCTTTTATGTTCGAAACAAGACCTATTTTAATGATTCAGTACACAAAAAATTATACAAAACTATGCCTGATCTCAATAAAAAACTTACTGAAGATTCTGAAATTATATCTGAATGGTACAACACAAACTAACATGGTAATAAACACAGACAAAACCAAGTCAATGTTAATATCCACATCAAATAAATTACAAAATATGTCCAACGGTCAGTGAAAATCATTGCAGTTTGACAGTGACACAGTTTGTATTTTTAATAAAATGAGCCAAAATAAAGTATTATCTCGACTTAAGACATACTGACTCAAAGAATGTAACAGATAATGTAGCAGATGATTATTATAAACATGGTTGACTTTCACAGCATGTGCCCCCAAAAAAATTGATCTCTGTTCCAATAGATGCTCAGAACCGAAACTGGGCATAGTGTTGAGATTTGCTGCCTGAACACTCGCCATGAATCGAAATCACACCCTCGGTGGTGAATTTAAAAGAACATGTACTGATCCATACTAGTACAATGTATGACATGACGATAGAGGGAAGTGCAGCTATATATGGTCGGATGCTGTAGAAATGAATGCAAACAGTCATCAGTGATGTATATTTACGTGCTGCTCAACCGTTTTTTTCTTGTAATGCCACATCAACATGAAAAAATAATTGTTTTTCAAACATTCTTTGCCATTCACGTGCACGTTATAAATACCATAACAGCAAATGGATGTAATTTTAATTTAGTGATTATTATTATCATCATATGTGTATCATTTTCCATGTTTGGGTCAAATAACAGATCAAAGAATGAGGGCGTGATTTCAGCACGAGCCAAGTGGGTCCTGACTAACATGAATGCAACTGCTGTAATACCACTGCAAACACAAGACATGTATGCGCAGTTGATTACTCTTATGCAAGAAGTCACACTAGTCACAGGTTGGTATTGATAAACACACCACCTGTTTGACAACAGATCCTTATTAATACAATATTGTAACCAAACTAACAAAATAAAAAGTTACACACTGCTTCTGTTGAACTGTCAAGATGAATCAATTTCCACTGTAATGGTGAAGTAATTACCAGAGTAACTTCAAAAAAGTTACTTTGAGTAATGATGGATAAATATCTCAGTTGGAAAGAACATGTTAGAAAAGTTTATAGAATAGTCGGTGCCAATCTTGCGTTACTTTGGTGCATTAGATAATATCTACCTATTTATTTCATCCAAAAAGATGTGACAATAAATCAAAATTATTAGATTTAAATTTACAAAGCACTTTCAAAATATTTAACCTTTAATTTCAGTTCTGATGAGAATCTTTAGAACCAGAAAATCATATCGTATATTAGACAGTGATCTCCCATACCAAATATAACAGTACATTGTATATGCATATGTTACTGTGATTTCTGCCCACTGTAGACCTCTACTAGTTACACACTGACCATCCACTGTTAATTAATATCATAGATAACTTGTGGTATTGCTCAAAATCATAATTGTTTTTTTTTTTTTTTACCCCGGTACTCTCCAATTTTGCTTCTCACTATTAAACACAATATTAGTACAAGTATTCTTAATTGGTATAACTATAATACACATCTTAAACGGCATAACTATATTAAGAAAAATCATCAAACGCAAGTTTCAATAACTAATATTTGATAACTTTGCAAAAAATATCGTTTATCAATCACTGTCTCTAGAGAAATATATACAGTACTTACCTATCATCCTCTCTGAACAGAAATATTGATAACCTCACAACAAATATAAATGACACCAACATGGACAAAATACCGATGTATATGGTAAAATTACACATGCTCTGATCCCCCCAGTAATCAACGCTGAAGTATGGATGTCTCGTGGTTTTATTTTCGTGCCATGTTCCCGTTGCAAACAGGGCACAGTTGCCATCGAAGTTATTTAGATTGACCCCAGATGGTACTATGATGAAAAAAGACAACAGGAACAGCAACACGTACGCAGTGACCTGTGACAACAGCAAGATATTGCCGATGCCCATGTTGTCAGGGTGAGAATCCTCAGGGTAAGGAATTTGTGAACAGATCAAGCACGAGATAACAAGTGCAAACACAGAAACTTCCACTGATCCACAGGGTCATTTATCAGCGAGATCACAAGACCATTATAAAAAAACCTTTAATAATTATTTTGCAGACCAGATTCGTCAAAACAAAATAACGCATTACGATGATACGGAGTTTTAGAGCCTAAAATTAGAATACACAATTTTGAAAAAAATATTTGCTTTATTTTTTAAATGATACTATTTTTATAGGACTGAAATTCCTCAAAATGTAAGTTATTAAATACGAATGAGAGACTATTAAAGATGAAATGGCTGTATTTACTTTATTATCATTACACCAAACATGGCGGATACCGAAACTGTTGAGATGCCGGAAACCGAAAAAGTTAATCCAGGTAATCTCCTCTCAATTTTTGCTAAATTTAAATTCAGTTGTGTGCACGTTGTTGGCTGCGATTCTGTTTTTTCGAATCCGGTGCAATTTTATGCTAAGCCTTGGTTGTTAGGGTTGTTTTTGACCATCGAAGTACGGATCTATTGATCGAGTTTGTATACTTGAATCGCGTCCATGTCTTTTGGTTGATAATAACATATGGAGTGCGTCAATTTCTTTATTTTACACGATGTTTTGTGATCGTCACTGTGTTAAAAATTGTCATAATTTCATAATTAGTTTAATCTGGGACATTTTAATTTTCTCTTAATAAAATTCGCACCATTTTTGTGGTCATTTTATTGAAACGAAACTTTGCATTTTACAAATAGATACAATATATACTTAGAATATATTTGTTTAGAAAGCTTTACACACTGGCAAAATTCGTCATTACATTTGAACGCAGGAAGTCGCGTAGTGCAATGTTGAATGCTGAATTTAAAGCTTCTGTGCTACAACTTGTATGCGTGCATGATGTCAGTATAATTCTCCTTTTATGGCTCATTAGGTTACGTTTTGTTTTGTTTGTTTTTTAAAAGCATAGCTCCCGCTTAAAAAAATTTATTCTGGTTCTTCAAAAAATACCTAGTTTGTAATTTGTCTTAGAAAAGGTACAACAGGGATGTTTATATATATATTTAAGGCATGCGTTATACAGTGTTCAGCAAAATGGTCAGGCATCGCATCTAATTTGCATATGAAAAAAGGTGCAACTGTTTCGGTTTCATTTCAGGTACTGTAAACACATTAATTATTAACTATTATTATTTTTTAATTTTACTATTTTCGCCAATATTTAAAATTGGGTAAATTAAATTCATGTGAACATGTAAAATAACAATAGAACGTATTCATTTGCCAAATTTGTAAACTTAAAACCCAACGAAATTGCTCAAAACGTCAAAATAGTAAAATTAAATGTTTTACAGTAACTTGTTTGACTGAATAAAATATGTATACGATATTTGTAAACTCCTCAAAGTGCAACTTAATAGATTTAAAAAAAGAAGTTAAAAATAAATGTTTTCTTTCATCGTTTAATCACAATGAGCTTATCATACTACAAGTGGCAACTTAAACCACAGTGTTCTCTCCAGAGCCATTATAGTGTGGAGACCCTCAACTCTATTCTGGGCTAAACAATAGAACTAATTATCATACCAATAAAAACAATGGAGGTGGTTAACAAGTTGTGCTGTTCATTAGCTGGTAGCATCACGCTATTTTATGTGGGGAACAGAATCTTGAATTGAATATTTAGGTGTTGATATGCATGACATGGCAAATAAAAGTTGATAAAAAAAGTTAATGTAAAAACCAGTTTTTTTTTTTTAAATTACAGTCCAACCTGTCTATAATGGTCACCCAGTGGACCAAGCCAAAGTGACCACTATAGAGAGGTGGCCTTTCTGTAAAGGGTGGGTGTGTCTTAACCTGAATCAGTGGGCGTGGCATTTGAGAAAAGCTATTAGGGAATGAATATGTAGGATTGGGGCATGGCATATAAAATGTAAATGAACACACCATATTTTATGTTGAACTGTTTATTAGTATGAATAAATAAATGTGTACAGTGTTTTACAAAACTCAGTTGTCATACTACATTGTATTAACATTTTTGTAATGTATAATTCATTATAACAAATCATGTTATTGTACATGTACTCACATTGGCTTAAAAAAATCACAAACTGACGTCTGTTTTGCTTGGGTTATTTTCTCGCTGTGCTTTTTGCTAAAAATGCCCTCTAAATCTGAAATAGTACCCAACATTTCGGATAGCCCCTGTCTAAGCATAAAGTCCTTCAAGTCATTAATAGACTGTGCTGCTTGACTGAAGTTCTTGATCACTGCTGGTGTTTCTAGTGGTGTTCTCATCATCACTGTCATCTTCTGCTTGTTCATTCTCTTCAAGCCGTTGTAAAATATCCACTGTTGTGCCATTCCAGTCATGTGGTTCTGTATTGCAGGTTACAAGCTGGTCATCAATATCAATAATATCTTGAAGGGAGCAGCCAAACAACTTTTCAGACAGACTGTTTAAATGTTCTGAATCACTTTCCAAGGGTTCTGCAATGTCATTATCTTCTGTAATAGGAAATAAAAAACATGGTCAGAGTGAAACAGACACCAACATAAAACAAAAACAAAAAACAATGGTAACACAAATAAAAAGAACAATCCTTGTTAAACTGTTAACACATAAACAAAAGGGATAATGCTTTGTTTAACTGTAAAAATCGTCTCTCAAAAACCAACAATCTATCATAAATATTAGAGAAAATGTGTTGATTAAAATAGTACTCACCATCTACAGTCGTTTGGTTAAATCCACGATTAAAATACTTCTGAATTATTGTTGCCTCTACTTCTTTCCAAGACTGGCTTACCCACATTATAGTATCCAGTACATTGGTTTCCCGCAGAAATTCAGAACCACACTTTGATTTCTCTTCGTCCATTTTTCTGATGATATGGCGTAGTTGCCGCTTTCGGAACTTGAGTTTCATAGCCTGGATAATTTCCTGGTCCATTGGTTGTCTTGGATGTGGTATTTGGTGGTAAAAAACACAGCTTGATATTGCTCAGTGGCACTGTTGGATGGGATGGTGCATTGTCTATAAATAAAAGGATGTCCCTGTTTCGTCGCTTCATTTTCCTGTTGAATTTTTTTAAATAATCCTCGAATATCGTTGAATTCATCCATGCTTTTTTGTTTGCATAGTAATGCACAGGGAGTCTTTTCTGATCAATGTTCTTGAAACAACGTGGTTTCACCGATTTTCCGATGATCAAGGCATTTTCCTTCTCTCCTTCAAGATTGGCACATAACATGACAGTCAAACGTTCTTTAGATTTTTTACCACCTCTACACTCCTCGTCTTTAATGAACAGTGTTGTTCATTGTCGAAGCTTTGAAAATAGGCCCGTTTCGTCCAAATTGTAGATGTCTCTACTGTTGTAACCTGCAGTTATAGTTGGCAGTTTTAGTTTCCTCTCTTCAATTGTCTGATTATTGACATTGCCACTTTCGCCGGTCATTGTTTTGAAACTAATACCATGGCGATGACGGAAACTGTTCAGCCACCCGTTCGAACCTTTAAAATCGTCCACACCCAAATCTTTGGCAAACGACAGTGCTTTTTCTTGCAACAGTGGTCCACTGACAGGGATTCTCCGAGCAGTTGCATCTTTAAACCATTCCCATGTCAATTTGTTGATTTCTTCGTTACCATTTTTCTTATCTTTCTTTTTTGGTCGCCTGGAACGTTGTCTTCGAAATCTCGTACATATTCGGCTTTTCGTTTTAAAATCGACTGAATCTGTGTTCTTCCGACACCAAACTGCTCAGCTAACTTTGGCGATCCAATGCCACCACTCGCTTCAAAGTCGGATAACAGTCAACTTATCATTGAGTGAAAGCGTTTTCCTAGGATTCTTAGCCATTATTACGATGTATATCTGGTGATGTAAAACCACAGAGTGATGAAAATAACTAGAATTCGTTCGCATATATCGATGGAAGCCGCCATTGAAGTCTTTTGTTTATATGCGTCAACATCTCATTAGCATACGACCACGTGCGATGATGACCCGTCTCTCACCTTTGAACCGCCTTAGCAGTGACTTTCGTCTGGGTCTTTTTCGTCACTTATCGCATTGTTTAAAGTGTTAAGATGCTGATTATCCCTTTTAAAATGTATCGGTTTGGGAAATCGCACAGACAACACATGATTTGTGGTAAATACCAGACTGAAACTGCTAAATCCTTTGTATCGTTGTGTTGGTGTCGCCAACAACACCGTAGCGAGGATCAACACTTCTGCCTGGCATAACCGTTTTTCGTCACATGGATTAAAATTTCTGGCAATTGCGACCGGCTTCTGTCAAAGTTCATTGGTAGAAAATACAAAGCTGGTGACCGTTATACACAGAAAAACTGGCCGGTCAGCCCCAAAAAGTGTGGCCGCTGACCGCGTTAGGGAGGTGACCTTTCTGTACAGGTGTGTTTGCATGGAAAACTGCTCGGGACTGCCACAAAGTGGCCGTTAAAGGGAGGTGACTGTTCTGAAAAGGTGACTGTTAATGCAGGTTGGACTGTATTTGTAAATTCACTGCATTTATAATTATTGTTACTCCTTGCACACCAGTCGACAGTTGGGATAATACCTAGAATGTGTGGCTTCATATCCATACTCTCTTCCCTCACATAATCAAATATGCACATTAAGCCAAGATAAAATTTAGTTTCAGGTGTGCAGGCAGATACAGAGCAAGAGAACAATGCAGTAGTTGAAGAACCTAATGAAGAAGTGACTAAAGAAATCAGTAATGTGAATCAAGATGAATATGAGCCAATGGATAATACCCAGTTAAAGGCAGAAGAAATGGAAGCCCAAGCTGAAATAACTGAAGCTCAGATTGAAGAACCTATGGTACAGTCTGAGGAACCTGTCGCACAGTCAGAAGAACTAGTCGCACAGTCAGAAGAACCTATGGTACAATCTGAAGAAACTAAGGAACCTGAAAAAGAGGATCAAGTGGTACCTGAAGAAAAAGTAACAGAAGAGCCATCGCCCCCACCGGAATTAGAAAAATATTGGAAAGTTGTTAGGGACAACTGTTCTGATTTTACAGGATGGACATATCTTTTGCAGTATGTTGAGCAAGAAGTAAGCCAAATTTATATTGTATCTTCCATGCCCTCTCCATGGTTCTAGTAGCACATTCACTTGCGTAAATTAGAGATCTTTCTGTTTCTAATAATCTTCAACTACTGTAAAATGACTAATTTTCACTGGGTTTAAATTTCGCTGATTTACCATTTCAGGCATATTCAGTGGGTTTTAAATCTACGGTTTTATCATTTAGATAATGTGTTCTATGCTAAATTTTACATATTCACTGGGTTTTAATTTAGCGCATTTTCCAGTCAGCGAAATAAGCAAAATTAAAACCCAGTGAATAATTAACCCCTTTACAGTATGTAGCAATGGGTACCCATGGGTTGAAATAGAAGTTCCCAGGCTTCTAGTTGCCAAGGATCCCACTTGGCTCCGCACATGATGTGCTTCACAATATCGTCTTGATCATTTTCAAAAAGTGCCAGTGCTACTCTGCATCTTTAGAAAGACAAAAACAAAAATGTGTCGAGTGCTCCTCATTTCTTTCATGGGAAGCTAAGATCTTGTACTTAGTTTATAATATCCTTCGCATAGAATTCCGCACAAATTGCAATATCAGTCTTTATCATATACATACTCTTTATCACATCTGATGTTACACAGGTGGTTTCATAAACTCCATATCACACATGTGTGATATGGTACCAGACTACTGTTACTAGTTTACACAGTTGAATTTGTCGCACCTGTAAACAAGCTGTAGAACTCTCCCAGAATTTCATCAAAAATATTGACAACCTTAAAATGCACACAGTCAAGAGTACATGAAGTCGTTATTGGGAAATGATAACCATTTATTAGCTATACCGTTTACATACTAAGCATTTTGTTTTTGAGGCGAACAGTCCTGCATTACACAGCCGGTGACAGTGTTAGCGCACAGAACTGAGATAATTTTGAAACATTTGTTTGATGCGTTGAAATGCAAAAGTGGTAGCATATTTCTGCTGAATTTGTTAAATGTTAATGAATCTGTCAAATATGATAAAACCTGAGCTACAAAACTGGGAGATTCAAGACAGCTGTGCTGAACTTAAGCGTTCAGATACAGTGCACAGCACTGCACAACAGTTTGCCCAAAATCAAATAATTCCATCACTTATTCATGTTTGCTCTGTGATGATGATATGCTCCCAAGAGTTCAAATTCCTGCCAAAGTCATAAATGAAAATAATAACTTGATATATATTGTATTTCAGAACCACCTAGAATCTGCAAGAGAAGCCTTCAGTGCATTCTTTGATCGGTATCCGTACTGTTATGGTTACTGGAAGAAGTTAGCAGACTTGGAAAAAAAGCATGGCAACCTGGACAGAGCATGCGAGGTATGTAAATGTAGTAATAAACACTGATCTATGACCCTTCCTGAAAGATTAGATAGATCTGTGACAGTAAATTCTTGACATCTCAATTTTGGTATCCATGATGTTAAATTTCATGTGTTTTCTCCTGGTTCTGCTAACTAGAAGCATGATATTTTCTTTCTTGTTGACAGGAAGCATCACAGATACAAAGAACAGGCTGCCCCAGTCATTTCTTATTAAATCCCAATTGGGATCAACATTTGAGTTTTTTTCTCTCCAGTTTTTATCGATTTTTTTTTTCTCTAACACTGCTTTGAATTTGTGAATTTTATCGATTGAAATTCTATGCATGTATACATATGAATATGAGTTCATGTAAATTTTGATCGGTTATTGAGTTGTTATACTCATTGTGTATGTATTTGTACGCAATCAACTGGAGAATGAATACCAGGCATTGAGCAGCGTACATAGGACTGAAGGCAGCTGAATGATGGCTTATCATGTAGAAGATGTTGGGGAGCTTAACTTGGCTTATACCCAACAATGCAGCTCCTCCATGCAGTTGATACAGGTTTATGGTCATTCACAAAATTTCGCTTTTTTGCTCAACAAAATTCTATTTCACATTGTCCAGTTTCATATGATGTTATACAATTTTAGTCTTGAGTTGGTGTTGAGATTGGACGTTTAACTAAGGAACAGTTCTATTTCTCTTTCAGGCATTTGACAGAGGAACAAGAGCTATAGCCCTCAGTGTTGACCTGTGGATTCATTACATCAATTTCTTCATGGACAACTTTGCCAATGACAGTGATTTTGTGGAAAGAACAAGAAGGTATGGTGTACAATTGTCATTAAAAACCTCAAAAATAATAGTTACTGGAAAACCAATGATTAATTAATGCGTTTAAAAGTAGTCAATATAGATCGTTAGAGCCATTATGGTTTATAGCCTGTTTGATTCTAATGACTATTGTTGACACCATTCATCTATAAATGTCATAATTTGTTTATTTTTCAGTTTATTTGATAGAGCTGTAGCTGCTTCCGGTACTGAATTCCGATCAGATAAACTTTGGGATATGTACATCAACTGGGAAAAAGAAAAAAAGAATTTGAAGAAGATGACTGGTCTGTATGATAAACTATTGGGAATACCTACACAACTTTATAGTCACCACTTTGACCAGTAAGTAGTTCCACAAGGAGAATAGTTATAAGTCCCCGTTCTCATGAAATCCTGTGGACCGATTCTGTTAATTCTTTGCATGTGCTTAGTACTTTATGTGAAACATATGCACATGCAGTGGTTTAGTGATTCGATTCAAAATGCCAGACTGGCAGCCATCTTGTTTTTTGAAAATGTTGTATTTTGGACATGCTTTGTTAGTTTTCATTCAAATTTAATACATAGATCATAAATGTTAGGATACATGTCCCCGACCGTCCGTGAGTTCCTGAGTCTGTCCGTCCCTGTGTCCGTCCGTCCGTGCGTCAGTCTGTCCAGAGTCATATTTCAGAATCCTGTGGACCGATTCCGTTCATTCTTTGCATGTGCCTAGTACCTTATGTGGGACATATGCACATGCAGTGGTTTAGCGATTTGATTCAAAATGGCCGACTGGCGGCCATCTTGTTTTTTGAAAATGTTGTATTTTGGACATGCTTTGTCAGTTTTCATTCAAACTTGGTACATAGATTATACATGTTAGGATACATGTCCATGACAATCTGGTCAAGGATGGCCGATTGACAGTCATCTGATTTTTTGGCCTCAAAACTATATTTCCAGAACTTATGTACCACTTTCATTCTTATTTGGCACATACATCATACATATCAGTGTGTTTCATAATCAGATCAAAGATTGCCGAATATATGCGGTATCTTGGACGTGCTTTGTCAGTTTTCATTCAAATTTGGCACATACATGTACTTTATACATATTAGGATGCATGTCCATGACAATTTGTTTTAAAATCTGATCAAGGATGGCAGATTGACAGCCATCTGACTTTTTGGCCTGACTACTATATTTCCACAATTTATGTACCATTTTCATTAGTATTTGGCACATACATCATACATATCAGTTTGTTTCATAATCAGATCAAAGATGGCCGAATAACGGCTGTTATTATTTTTGGTCATATTACTACAACACGGAACACGTGTTTTGATGTAAATAAACAATCTATTGTAAACACCACTTGGGACTCAAGTTTCAAGGACACGCTCCTGACAACCCCCTCCGCTTTAATATGATGAGCACCAAGAGAACTTTTAAAAATTTAACAGGGACTGTGTCATTTTCAATGACTTGTTGATATGAATATTAGTATCCACTGTCGATGTATATTGCCTGAAGGAAGAGCAAAGCAACACACATCAGTACCTGAAATAAATAATACTATAAAGAAATTTCTTGTGAGATCACTAAAATGGCACATTTATCTCCTAGGTTCAAAGAACATGTGAATGGCAACATGCCACGAGATATTTTAACAACTGATGAATTTTTAAAGATGAGAACAGAAGTGATTGCATCTAACCCTATTGTTGAGTCAGATGTAGTTGATGATGCACCACCTGGTGTTGAGGCACCACCAGGTATGGAAGATCCGGAAACTAATGCCAGTAAGGTAGGTAATATTGTTAAATCAGGCACAAACAAGATTTTTATAGGAAGGTAACAAACTTGCTAGGAAAAATTACTGTAAACATTCCTATGTAGGGAGGAACTTTCCTATTGGCGCTATCAAATGATCTGTTATGAAAACAATTTGCTACATTTTGTAATAATCTCACTTCTGGAACAACTTGACTTTCAAATCTTTCACTTGACTGCCCATCAAGTTTTACGGCCGCCCAGTTACTGTCAACACTTGCCCACCAATGTCGTTGCAATGTACATCAAGCTGAAATACATAGCTTTGAAAGGTTCAGTAAATATTTTATATGGAAACAATGATTTAGCATATCAAAAACCTATACAGTATCCTTAAACTAATTTCTTGCTTGCAGCTTGATGCCGAAACTGTTGCAATACGTACAAAAATTATTGAGACAAGAAAGGAAGTATTCAGGGTGACAGAAGAGGAAGTCAGTAGAAGATGGGCTTTTGAGGAAGGGGTAAGTAAGTGTGCTGTGTGATTCCAGGATACTGTTATTTGCTTTGGTGAGACCAATGTGAAATTTTAGCCCGGAAAAACCTATCACTTTTAACAATAACTTGAATGTGGCATATTGGAAAATGGTATTATTCTCCAAATCTACCTGTTATTACCTTCTATATTATATAGCACACTTTGACAAAAATCAAACCGGTTTCAACATAAATTCCTATAAATGTTAAAATACATAAAGTTTCCTGTTATATTTGTTCATGATTGTCACACATTTCTCTTTCATTTAGATCAAAAGGCCATACTTTCATGTTAAGCCTCTGGAACGAGCACAGTTGAAAAATTGGAGAGAGTACTTGGATTTTGAAATAGAAAATGGTAGTCATGAACGTGTGGTGGTTCTTTTTGAAAGGTGTATGATTGCATGTGCTCTCTATGAAGATTTCTGGTTGAAGGTTGGTATTTCAAATAATTTTCTTGATTTACTTTAACTACTATTAAAATTAAACAAATTCCATTAATGATAAATTGGAATTGAATAAAGGTTTTTGTTGATTTCAGTATGCTCGTTACATGGAACCTCACAGCAAAGAAGGTGTCAGTGCTGTCTTTCGAAGAGCTTGTCACATTCATCTCCCAAAGAAACCCAACATTCATCTGCAATGGGCTGCATATGAGGAGCAGCAAGGTATGATCTTTGTTAATACATGCTATTTGTTTCATTTAAAAAAGGAAACAGAGAAAAGGTGTAATCTTGCAGGAACATGCTGCTTTATTAGACATAATTAAAGCTCAGCTGATTTCTACTAAACCCATATCATGCAAAGCATCGAATTCTATCAGCTTAATTTGACAACAAATTTTCAAAATAAATACTTGATTTTGATCCATTGCTTTTCTTAGCAGCCACATTTATGGAGTCAATGCAAAACTATTTACAAGATTGTTTCTGATTGGCTAACACCTACCAGTCAGACCAATCAGAGAGCAGCTTATTTGTTCGTGTTTTTTTTCCAAATTCTTCATTAATAATGAATATACTTGCGTCAATCAATATATTTACATATTTATTCTGTTTGCAGGCAATATTGAAGAGGCCAGAGAAGTGTTCAAGAACCTAGAGGCTGTTGTTCCTGGTCTAGCTATGGTGACTCTTAGAAGAATTAATCTAGAACGAAGACATGGTGATCTTGATACAGTAGATAAAGTATTCAAAGATTGTCTGAGTCGATCCAAAAGTAAAAAATTGGCTTCTTTTTATGCCATTAAATATTCAAGGTTCCATTCCAAGGTACTTTAGCAAGACTTATTTTTAGTGTTAACATAAATTTACAGAGTCTATTAATACCAATATTCATTCTTATTGTAGGTGTCCTGTTAATACCAATTTACCTTTAATAGGTCAGTTTTGTTTCAGAAGTTCAAAATATTATTTTAATTTTTTCACTAATATGATAATTGTTTATTTTCTCAGATTCAGAATGACACGGAGAAAGCAAAAGCAGTATTGAATGAAGCTCTGAAAAAAGACCAGGTATGATATGATAACCAATAAACCGAACATTTTTATGGTGGCACCATCATGAAAAATGAAATTCATTCTCATTCCATCAGATGTTGTGTCAAGAGGTCAACATCTCTTTGACCACAAATCTGTGTACACCTAATATATTATTGCTGCAAGATAAATCTACAGGAGAAAAATAAACAATAAATTTATTGAAAACTCCTTTTAATCCCCCAAATATTATGAACTAGAAAACTTGTACCTGTCGAAGCAACAGTGACCAAAACTTAGCTACTGTGTTGACTGATCATGTTACAATGACTAATACGATAAGTTGAAAAGAATATAATTTTATCTTATCAGGATTTGTCGTCATGTGCCACTTTGTCAGTGTTTGTTAGTCCCCGTTCGGACGCAGTCCGAAAACGGGGACTTATGTTTTGCCCTGTGTGCGTCCGTGCGTCCGTGATCACCTGTATCTTGAACATGCATGGACCGATTAAGTTCAAACTTCACTCATACAT